GACGCTCGACCTGCATAGCTTCATAGGTAAGCTCGTCAGCCGCAAGGACAGCGCGACTGGCCCTGACGGAATTCCCTACAGTGCATGGCGGTTCGCTGGAGACGCTGCTCACAATGCCTTGTATCAAGTTTATCTCGCTATATTGGACAATCCTACATATGGGCCCCCGCATAAAGGCTTCAACGAGTCTCTCACGGTATACCTCCCTAAGGCCATATGCCCGCACGAAGCTGGAACCTCTGAGATCTCTCGGGAAGCGTCTGTGGTTCGCCCTATTGCTCTCAGCAACACTGATAACAAAATAGTATCATTGGCCATATGCGAACCATTTAGCCAGCAATGCCAGTACAGCGTCTTAGGCTCCCAGACGGGTTTCGTGCGCAAGAGGTCTATGCTCGACAACTTGCTCTGCCTTGAGGCAGACATTCTTGAATGCGCCTGCTATCGCGGCATGCCGCACGCGGGGCTGCTCCTCTTGGATTTCCGCGCCGCGTTCCCGTCGCTGCGCCACGACTGGATCATAGATGTGCTAATCATGATGAACATACCCATGTATATCGTGAATGCCATTCGGTTCCTATACACTGGTATTTACACACACATATGCCTAGCAGGAAAGAAGTTTCCAGGCTACTCGATCACCCAAGGCATTAAACAAGGATGTCCGCTGTCGGGTGCTTTATTTGCGTTATGCATCGACCCGCTGCTGCGCCGATTATCTAACTTGCTAGCTCCTGTTTGTGCTACCCCTCGTGCCTTTGCAGATGACATCCAGATCTCGGCATCCAACCTGTTGCTCGCTGTTCCGATTGTGCTGAAGAATGTTATTAGGTCCAGCCGTTGTACTGGCCTGCTCTTGAACCTTGCCAAGTGTATGATCGTGCACGTGCAAGAGATGCCAGACGACCAGCATTTCGCCCTGTTCGAGTCCGTTCGCACCAACGTTCGCTCGCTTATGCACGGCACTAGTGGCAAAGTCTTGGGTGTCTTTCTGGGCCCTGGAGGTTACAAGAAATCCTGGTCCGCTCCGCTTCAGAAATATATTAATCGTGTCCGTCATGTTCGGTCGCTTCGTCTTGGGCTTACTCAAAGTATCTATGCATATAACTCCTTGGCCTTCTCGGTTCTCACCTTCGTGATGCAGCTATGTTACATATCGCAGGACGCTCTTCGCATGGAAACCAAAGGTTTGCAGACTCTCACCGCATGCCCCTTCTACAGCATTCCTACTGATCTTCTCCGCAATCTCTCGTCTGCGTTGCACTGGCCCATTGCCCCACGCAACCTAGTGCTGGATAATCAGGCTGCCATGTATCGGGTCGCTGTTCGGTCTAAGGTTTTTGATAGCATTCGGAAGCGCTTTCATGAGCTTGAGGAAGAGGACTTGGATGTTCTGATGGTCAAGCGATACCCGACATGGCGTGCCGAGTCCATTGTTTTCCACCTGATTCACAATTACGAGCGACTAACAGCCCTGCCGTGGAACCACTTCGACGAGGACACTCACGAGTTGCAGAGACAGATTTTGAAGAAGTTGATTTCTGAGGCCCCTTGTAGCTCCGCGAGTTTTCTCCTGGGCAATCGAATTCGGTTCGCTTTTCCTTTTGCTGGTGCCTCTAGTATCGACCTTGCGGTGCTCAGGCCCCAAATTGCCTGCACGCGCGTCGGCCCTTTTGTGGCTGCGGCCATTCTCAAAACCATCTGCAACGCGTGGGCGACCTCTGCCAGGTATAGGCAAGGCCGTCTTACCTGCCGTTTCGGTTGCCGGGCCACAGGCGGCGACCACGTCCAGCATTACTTCGATTGCCCTCATGTCCTGAGCTTGCTCCATTCTGTTTTGCCCTTCCTGCCAGTCGAATATTTGAATCAGAGCCTCGATGCGCGTATGCTGTGCACTATGCCATGCCAGTCTAGTCAGCAGCTGTTCTCTTTGTTTCTTGTCCACGACCTGCTCTTTTCTACCTTTAACTCCTTGAGGAGCTCGCACAGGTTCGGGCCCGAATGCCTGCTGCCTCTCCTGCGCGCGCGTGCCCGCCACATCGCCAAGAAGGGGCGCGGCGTGCGGAGCCTGCTCATCAGGAGGCCCGCGGCAGAGGGCAGCTGAACTGCCCCCCTCTCTGGCGCGCTCAGGGGAGTGCGATCATCATCATCATCATCATCATCATCATCATCATCATCATCATCTGCATCATCAGCAACATCATCATCATCATCACCATCATCACCTTCATCAGCATCATCAGCATCATCAGCATCATCATCAGCATCATCATCACACGAGCCGTGTCCCCAATGGGAGCCCCACCGAAGGTCCACGTGTCAGCGTTCGCATGCTCCCACCGCGCCCATGGTGGCACACCCCTCACATGTTTCGTGGCCCCAATAGGGAGTCCCACCGAAGGCCCACATGTCAGCGTTCGCATACGCCCACCGCGTAAAGTTTGGCACGCCCCTCACACGCTTCGTGGTTCCATAGGGCGCTCCACCGAAGTCCCAACTGTCAGCGTTCGCATGTGCCCACCGCACCATTGTGGCACACCCCTCACCCGCTTGGTGGTCCTATAGGGCCATAGGGAGGCCCGCCGAGTGCCCAAATGCCAGCGTTCGCATGCGCCCGCCGCCATTGTGGCACACCCCTCGCACGCTTCGTGGCTCCATAGGGCGCCCCACCGAAGGCGCAACTGTCAGCGTTCGCATGCGCCCACCGAACCCATATTGGCACACGCCTCACACGCCCCGTGGCCCCATAGGGAACCCCACCGAAGGCCCAAATGCCAGCGTTCTCACGCGCCCGCTGCATTCATTTTGGCACACCCTTCACACGCTTCGTAGCCCCACAGGGAGCCTTACCAAACGCCCAAATGCCAGCGTTCGGACGCGCCCACCCCACCCATTCCCAAATGCCAGCGTTCGCATGCGCCCGCCGCGCCCATTTTGGCACACTCCTCGCTTGTTTCGTGGCCCCAGCCCCACCGAAGGCCGACATGCCAGGGTTCGCATGCGCCCACCGCGCATTTTGGCGCATCCCTCACACGCATCGCGGCCTCATATGGGGCCCCACCGAATGCGGTGCATACAACGGTTGTACCCACAATTGCAGATGTTGAGTTTGGCTAATTTTTATTTTTTCGCGGGGGGGGGGGCACTGCACCAAAATCCTCCTCCTCCTTCTCGTGCTTCCTCCAAGCCTACACAGGCTTTCTTGAAACCCCCCTGCGCCTGCGTTCCTTCGAAGCCCTTGACTGGAGCAGCCAATGGTGCTTGTGCATGCGGCCCACCAGGTGGTCGGGCCGTGCCCCAGAGAGGTTTGATGGTTTTTGGTTCGCGGGTCACACGCGACCCGTAGCAGTCGAAACCTGTGGAAATAGTGCCAGCCGTGCATACCCACCGGTCTTTCTAGACTCCACATTCATAAGCAAAGCCTGGTTTGAGGTCCTCTTTCACAGCCTCCCGCGTCGCGGCGAGGCTCGCTATTGCTGAAACTGGCCACTTGTCATCTGAGCGGCCCCACACCCCTTTCCCCCCCTCCCCCATCTCCCCCCCCCCTACCCAGGGATCATTACCAAGAGTTCTTTGTTATGATGCAGGGCTGAGCATTGCCGACCAAGTCGTACCAAGGCGTACCAGGGATTAGCAACCTTTGCCAAGGGCAGACCAGGACTTACCAAAGCTTACCATGGCTGAGCAACGCTTACCAAGGCTGAGCAGGGACCACTCAGCTTCGCAAGGCTCAGCAGAGATGGCCAGGGAATAGCAATGCTTACCAGAGCTAAATTAACATGGACTGACAGAGTATACCAGGGCTCAGCCAGGTTGAGCAACAATTACCATGGCTGAACAGAGCGTGGCAATGTTTATCCAGGCGTAGGGCTTTACCAGCGCTTACAGGGCTTAGCAAGGCTTGGCAGAGCTAGGCAGGGCTGAGCACAGCTTAGCATGGCTTTGCAGGGCTTGGCGGGCGGACCAAAGCTTACCAGTGCAAAGCTGGGCTTAGCAGAGTTTGGCAGAGCTTAGGAAGGCAGGGCATGACATAGTAAAGGCTAGCAGGGCCTACCGGGGGTACGAAAGTTATGCACGGCGCAGCATATGTTAATACCAGTGAGTGGCGGGGTTTGCCTGGGCTGGGCAGGCAAACGTGGCGAACGAATGGGAGGCTGAACTGACTGATGGAGATGCTGACAGCATTATATGGTATAGCCTGAGGAGCGAGGAGAGAGAAAGAGAGAGAGAGGAGAGGAGAGAGAGAGAGAGAGAACACAAACAAAAATACAGAGAGAAAGAGAGAGAGACATGAATAACAACAATAACACACAACAAGGGAACCACTGAGCTGGGCAGAGCAACTTTGACCGGTGCTCAACCAGGCTTAGCAGGGCTTAGCAAGGCTTTCCAACCTTACCTTATCTTTGCAAGGCATACCACGCTTACCTGAGCGTGGCAAGGCTGACCAAGCGTAGCAGAGCTCAGCAGAGCCCACCAGGATTTACCCAAGCTGACCAAAGCTTAGCAGTCCCCAGCAGAGCGTACCAAATCTGAGCAGGGCTTAGCAGAGCTTGCCAGGGCTCAGCAGTGCTTGGCAGGCTCAATAGGGCATAGCGAGATCTACAAGGCGTTAGCAGGCCTTGCCAAGGCTTTGCGAGGCTGTCCAGGTCTTAGCAGGCATAGCGGGGCTCAGAAAAGTTCAGCAAGGCACAAGGAATCGCAAGGACGAGCAGGGCTTAGCAATGCTTGCCGAGTCTGCGCGAGTGTCAGTAAGGTTTGTTCGCAAGGCTTACCAAACCCAGCTGGGTTTAGCAAAGCTTACCAAGCTTAGCAGCGTTCAGCAGAGCGTGCCAGGGGATATAATGTCTTACCAAAGCTTAGCAGGGCTTGGCAAAGCGTGCCAGGATTTGGAGATCACGGTAAAAATAATTACAAAAACACGACAACACATTAAGCAACTATTCAGAACAACGAGGACCGCCGCATTCCCCTGGCCTCTTTTGCTCCCCCATGCAGAGGCCCCGGGCGCGCCCGGGCCTGGCAAGGCGCAGGCCGGTGCGCAGCCTGGGGTGGCGGTTTGAGCCCAGCGGGTTATGGGCGCGCAGCTGCGGGGCCAGCGCTGGCTTCGGCGCGAGCGGGCGCAGTCCGCGTGCGCTCTGGCGCGAAGCTGGGGCGCCCCGTCGGCCAGGCAGGGCTCGGAGAACAACTGCACACAATGACTTGTGTCCTGGACTCAGCGCGCGTACACTGCAAAATGCGTGCTGCTAGCACGGCCCTCTTGTTGCGTCTGAGGCAGATGGCTGCGGAAGTGGGGAAGCGCTGCTGCAAACCAGTCTTTCCTGCCTGTGTTGGACTGTGTATGGAACTATCTTGCCAGAAACTGAGCTCATACCAATCTTCACATGGTGCTCGAAGGTACTTTGGTTTGGCGTGTCGCGCCGCTGGTTCTGGCGCGACATGCTATCCGCTTGCTCGCCCCAGAGCGTCAACGTCCCGAGCCTTTCCCAGCCTCCCGCCCCGCGGAGCGTAGCAACACGCTATCCGCTTGTAAGGCGTAGCGTGCCGCTTGGGCCGATGCGGCGACACGCTGAGCAACAGTTCCCGACCGTGAGCTTTCGGAGGTCCGCGTTGATCTCTTGGATGGGCGCCCCTGGACACCCCTGGTTGCGCCTCCGGCGCCGCCCCTGGCGCGCTCCGCGCGTCCGGGAGGAGGGGAGGCAGCGCCGAGCCAAGAAGTCCGCGCGGGCCTCGCGGCCTCCTTGGCTCGGCGCTGCTGGTCACGTGTCGCTCCTCATCCTGGTTACGGGTCCGCTGCGATGTCGTCGGCTCTTCCCCGACGACATCCTGCCAGTCAGCCAGACGCTGCCCAACCTGAGAACTTCACTTGCCGACTTGATTGCAGCAGCAAAACCACATGGGCTCGAAATACACACGACCAAAACCAAAGCTTTTGCATACTTACGTTACGCTTGTCTTCATCGACGGGCGCAGGCTGGCCCGCCATTCGGGGTGACGGTCTCAGCGCGCGGGCCGGGCGGCCACCTTTCCATCTCCGAGGTGCCACAGGGGTCGACCAAAACGTTTGTTGGGCAATCTCGTGGATCGTTTTCGTTGTCTCTCAGTTTTCGTTTTGTTTTCAGTCTACGGAGCGCCGTGGGCCAATCGCGACCTTGGATGTGCGCCGAAACGCTGTTTTGGGCCATCGGCTGGACTGCATTCGTCTCACAGCGCCTCACAACGTCAACGACACGAAACCACAAAACGCTGTTTTGGTCGACCCCTGGCCGGCACTGCTCCGGCGCTCGTGCGCGGGTCCGCCCTGGGTGTGGCGAGCCCCCTTCGGCCCAGCAAGGTGTGGAGGCTGGTCCGCGGCCGGTGGTGGTAGCTCTGAGCGCGGAGAGGCCCGGGTTTCCAACGCCCTAAACAACATCATGGCTTTAAGTCGGGCATGTCCATCTACCTGCAGGAGGCAGGAGGAACCTTCAAACATAGCCGAAAAATATTGTGGGGACGATTGTTTTGTATTCTCGAATATGTTTGAGCATCATTTGGCCATTTATCATTGTTCGCCCAAAATCCACCGCCTGTAGGAGGACATGCCCGACCTTAATCATGGCGGGCGGGATGTCTGCGATATTCGGCCTCCGGGGGCCGTCTCGGGGCTGCAGGGCCCTCAAGCAAATTCGACTTGACGGAAGAGTGACCTTTCGCTGGGGTGACCTCTGGTGCGGGCCGAATGGGGTCCCCCGATCGCGGAGCGCAAAGCGGTACCGGCGGCCTGCGCGTGCAGGTTTGGCCACCCCGCGTCCCCCGCTACGCCGCACCAAAGATCATTCCTGCTTCGGATCACTCGTGAGTGTAGCCGACACTTGATGGCCAGGGGCAAGGAGAAAACGTCCCCGGGGAGAGGGCCGAGAGCTCTGGGGCCCACGGGTCGGACAAGTCGGGATGCGTGTCGGGGGCCTGGGTCCGGCTCCTGCCCCCCCAAATGGACTGGTCGCCTCCCAAGGCTGCGATGGCGAGGCGCGCCGTAGATGCCCGTGTGCAGAGGGCAGTTGCGCCTGCATGATGCGCCAGAGCTCAGGTTTTTTGTTGAGCAGGGTTGTACTGAGCGGGCGGAGCAGGCGGTGGCGAGCGCTGTTACAAGCACAACGCTGGCAGCGCCTTCTCTCTCTCTCTCTCAGCGGCCTCCTTCGGCCCTGCTCTCCCTGGGACGGTCGTAGTCATAGACGTGGCGGAGCGGCCTACCTCTGGCTTGATAGTTTGGCTCGGCTCCGCCAAAGCGCTGGAGGTGGCACTAGACGGGGTTCGCTCGCCGTAAGACGCAAAAGGCCGAGGCGCCCCAACAATTGCCCCCTGGCACTGCTTGGCATTCCTCCCAGGTCCCGCCTCAGTGAAGGATTTCGCAGCCCTTGTTTGTCGCGTTCGGTTTCGGCACGTTCGCGCCGCGTCAACGCGGTGGCGATGCTGGCGCGGCCTGGTCCAGGCCAGTCTTGAACGGCCTCCGCCGTCGGGATTGCGGATGCCGCTCAAGATTGAGCGGTCATGTGCACTTTCTGAGGTCCGCGCGGATTTCTTGGGTCGGCGGCGCTGGGCCTTCTCCCCACGCCCCCAACACATCCTCGCGACGTGCAAAAATCACGACCCGGGGTTTTTGAAAGTTTCCAGCCTCGGGGGGCCTCCCCGTGCCTCAGGGCCATCAAGACACGACCCAGGACGAGGTATCGGCCCCCCGGGGAAGGATATCATTTGGGGAGCTACGTTGTGAAGAACTCGCGACGCAGAATGGCTGGCCCCTGCCCGAGCGCGCGACGCCCTGCCTGCTGCCGCCAGGGGTGCATAGGGGATCCTGCGCCTTGGTTCTCTGCGCGAGCTCGCATGAGGAAGAAGGGGAAGCCGATCGTGCGGCTCTTCGGGCCCCCCAGCCTGGAAGGCCGCCAGGCCCCCCCCTCCCCCCCCCTGCCATCTGAAGTCGCGTTATACATTTCCACAACATTGACCCCCAGAAGTCTGGACCTCTTCCAGGGAACCGGTTCTTCATCCCGAGTAGATTTCTGCGGCGGCGCGCACAAGAGGGTGGCGCGAGGGGGGATGGCTTTCTAAGCAGGCGGAGGTCTCGGAGAAGGCAGGGGCCTCCTCAGAAGTGCTGGGATGCTGTGAGAAGGCTTCTACGGCGCTGGGGGGGCTACAGAGGAACCACCTGCTTTCTTACCCCCAGACCCCCGACGTCATGATTTGTTTCATAACGTCGACCCTCAGAGTCGTTTTTGGACGCTCCCGGGGCGGGGTAAGGGCCGCTGGAGGCCGACAATAGCGACAAACCGTCCGCAATGATTTTTCCAGTGGCCGAGGGGGTCGAGGTCGCCCTCGCCTTCTCAGAAGGCCGCCGCCCTCGCTCCACCTCCTCGTGCGTGGCGGTCAGTTCAACGCCCGAGGGGCCAGAGCCAGGGCCCCCAGAGATGCCGAAGAGACGGCTAAGCGCCTTCCGCCGTGACTCTTTCCGCTTGCCCCACGAGGGAGCGAAGTTAGTCGCGCGGCAGGAGGGGCGGCGACGACGATGAGGGAGGAGGAGGTGGTGGAGGAAGGTCCCTTGCATGTATGGAGTCGTACGAGACGAACTTCTCCTGCTTCTCCTCCTTCTCCTCCTCCTCCTCCTCGCTCTCTCTCCTCCTCCTCCTCCTCCTCCTCCTCCGCCTCCTCCTCCTCCTCCTCCTCCATTTTGGCTCAAGCGATCGCACGGCCGCGCCTCCCTCCTCTCCTTGCGGGACCGCGGGATGGCGCTGCCTAGAGGGGCTCTCGCGGCGCTTGTGGACCTGGCGGCCCTGGTCGCTGCGGCGGTCCGCGGAGCCGTGGACGGCGGCGCGCCGCGCCGCACTGTCGCTGCCGTGGCACGCTCCGCCGTGTCGGCCGCCGCCTTCGCGGCGCGGCCGATTCCGCGGGAGCCTGCCGCCGCGGGCGGCGGAGTGCGCCTTGAAGTGCCTGCCGACGCCGCGCCTCGCGCTTCCTCGGAGGCGCTGCGCGAGCGGCGGCGCAGGCGCCGTCAGAGGCGTGCGGGGCGGCGCGCACTGGAGCGAGGGGAAGCTGCGGCGATGGCGGATGCAGTGGTGGCGGATGGCCCGCCGCCCGCTGCGGTCCCCGCTGCCGCTGGCGGCCCCAACTCGGGCAACGACGGCGGCGACGACGGCGAGTTTGACGACGCCTGGGCGGACGAGGCCGTGCCGAGGAGGCGCAGGCCGCGTCGTGCTGGGGCGTGTGCTGCTGCGGGAGGCCCTACTGGAGCAGGCGGCGTGCCGCTTGCGGAGGCAGGAGCTGTACGTGGTGGCGGCGATGCTGCGGCGGCGGCGCCTGCGGTGGCTATGGCCGCGCGGGCGCTGGCGGCGACTGGAGCTGATGGCGCGGGCGTCGCCCCGCCTTCCGCGGAGGTCGCTGCGCCCGCTGCTGGCGCGCAGGGTGGCCACATGTTCTCGCCTCAGGTGAAGGCGGAGCTCGTGGCGGCGACGGCGGCGGGCGACAACGGCCGCATCACCTCCATCATCCTCAGGGCCGCCGGCGGCAGCTCGAGGTGATGCTGGCGGGCGTCTTCGCAGGCTGGGCTGTCTGCCTGGCCCACCCTCGGTGGCGGCGGGTTCATGTGCCTCTTCGGGGTCGAGCTCGCCGTCGCGACCTGGGGACGGATCGCGCTGGGTCCGCCGTGATGCTCATGGTGGATGGGGGCACTGGCGCTCGCACGGCCGTCTTCATTGTGCTGGAGAGCGGCTTGTTCGTGTGGCTCTTCGGGGTCGCGCTCGACCTTGCCATCTCTGGCCTGGGCTGGGTGTACCCTGTCGTGTGCGACGACCTGGGGTATGCCCTCATTCTTGGGGCTGTCGCCCTCCGCTCTACCCCCGCGGGGGGTGTCGGATCCACATTGTCTTCTGTTGGCGCGGGTCTGCATCGGCAGACTCGCGTTCCATCGCTCGGGACCTCCTCCTCCTCCTCCTCCTCCTCCTCCTCCTCCTCCTCCTCCTCTCTCCTCTCTCCTCTCTCCTCTCTCTCTCTCTCTCTCTCACTCTCTCTCTCTCTCTCTCTCTCTCTCTCTCCTCCTCGCTCCCCCCCCTCTCCCCTCCCTCCCCCCCTCCCCCTCCCGCTTCTCCTGCCTTCCGCCCTCTCCGCCCTCCCCCTTCAGGGCGAATCCAGAGCGAGGCGCGACTCCCTCATCCTGTTCTGGGGGGGGGAGGACGGCGTGAGTGCGCGAAGACAGTCGCGCTTCGCGCTTCGCGGAGCGCGCGGCGCGAGGATAGGGATCCTGAAGAGCTTCGCGGGCAGTGCCCCTCAGCAGCAGGCGCAACACGGGTTCATGCCACGCGCCCCATGACGAGCGGCGCCCTGCTCCTGAGCCCGTGATCGGGCATCGAGGGTCCTGGACCATGGGATCGAGGGTCGAGGATCGAGGTCGAGGGCCGAGACCGTGGACCCATCCTGTCGTGACACGAAGGCGTCGTGGTCCCCGGGAGCCCACGGCCCCCTGCCTCCCTCCCCGGTGCAGAGGCGCGACGGGCCGTGGCCGGAGAGAGCGTCTGGCCGCCCCGGGGGGGGGGGGGGCGGCAGCTCCTGCGTCCGAGACCCCTCCAGGTCATGAAAAAGTCATGCCCAGAGGTTTCTGGCTAGGTTCGGCTTCCGGGGCTCGGGGTGCTCCGGGGTTTGTTCTGGGGCAAGCCCTCGGTGTGAACTTCAACACTCGAGCGATGGAAGGAATCCCCTCGGCGGCGGCAGCGTGGGCGACAAATTCTTTGCCATGCAGAGTTGCCAGACGCGGCAGCGTCCCTGGCCGAGCGCTGAAGCGAACGTTGAGATCCTAGCGTTGCAATGTTGCCGCCAAGGGGCACTGTCGCTCGGTCTCGGACCCTGGGGCTCTCACAGATCGATCCAGCTCGAGAAATGACGCAGGATGATGGGGTCGGCGGGCTCTGGTGGTGATTTGTTGGGTTCTTTTGATTGTCCGCATCTGATCTCAGGGGTGGTGGTGGACAGCATGGCAAGCCCTGACTTCGGATCCGCCATGCTTTGGGCGATTTCGCAAATGGGGCGCAAAACAATCCGCCTTCTCTTTCAAGCTCCTGTGCTGCCAATTTCCGCCCTACTTTGCCGTCGGTGTGTCCGCCACACCTTTGCGGAAATATCACCTCCCACCTTTCTGAGGCAGCATTTTCCCCATTTCGTATGGTCGCAAGTGCATGTCCGATACACGATTCAGTCGGATCGGCCGAAGTACCCAGACCGCCGACGCAATGATTTGTTCATGACGTCGACCCTCGTTATGATTTTTCATCCCGAGTCGCCTGGTGCCGGTCTTGGCGCCCGGCGATGGCCCCTAGAGGCCCAAAACAACGAAAAACCGCCGTCCCCAGACCCCCAACGTCACGATTTGTTTATAACGCCGACCCCAGAGGGCTCGACGAATTTCCCTGGACCGGTTTGTCATCCTGAGTAGTTTTTTGATCGTCACGAGGCCCGGTAAGGGTCCCCAGAGGCCGAAAATACCAAACAAAACATCCAGTCATGATGTTTCGAGACGCTGGGCGTCTACGTCTCCCCTCTGGGGGGCTTCTCTTGGCGTCGGGGGCGTCCATCGGCGGCGAGCCCGGGGGGGAGGTGGGAAGGGGCAGGCCTTTTCAGAATGCCCGGGAGCCCCCCCCTGCCTTTGAGGAGTTGTTTAAGCCTTCCCTGAAGACGCAGAGCATTTCTCCGAAGGCGCGAGGGCTTCTGAGAAGTCCCGCCGCCTTCAAAGAAGACCTTCTCCTTCTCACTTCCCGCCCTTGCTCGCCGCCGAGCCCAAGAGAGGGGGGGTCCAAGAAAGTGGCTTCCAAGATCATGGCCGGGGCACCTGTGTCGACGAGGGGGGGCCAGGGCACGTTTCGAAAGAACAGGAGGGGTCCATGGTATCCGGAGTGGTCATGGCCCTCCCTGACTTCGAACCCGCCGAAGCTAGACCCCTCCAGTTGGCGGGGAAATCATGACGGGAGGTCTTTTGTTATTTCATCGCTTCGCTCACTCCGCCGGCCCGTATTGTGCCAGCGCATGCATTTGCCTGCGCGTTGGTGGTCTCCTGGGGCCCCTTGGAGGCCGTTTGGGGGCCTCCTGGAGCCTCTTTTCGGGCCTCTTTGGGGCCTCGTTGGGCCTCCAGGGGGCCTCCTGGGCTTTCTTGGGGGCCTATTGAGGCCTCCTGGGGCCCTCTCTGGGCGAAAGGCTCGAATTGATGGTTCGTGTTCCCCCTCTTGGGGCCGTTTTAGGGCTCTCTTGGGCGATCTTGGGTGCCTCTGGGGCAGTTTTTGGGCCGTCTTGGACAGTCTGGCCGTCTTGGGGTGGTTTTGGGGGTCTGGGGCCGTCTTGGAGCGTCGGGAAGCTGAAAAGGCGAGAACGCCAATATTCATCAAAAACCAAAGGAACATTCATTGCA